AAAGCAGCCCACTTTTGTACCCACTCCTCCACCACCCATACTCTGAAAATCGCCTTCCACAGGCTCTCCGGCGACATGACAGAATACAGTCAATTGCACACGGCAAAGAATATTACTCCGAAGAGCACCTCGCTGGATATGTTGTGGCCAGACTCCGACTGGATAGAAGAGCACTCCCAGGCCTACCTACCACAAGAACAGCAACTAGCACTTACAAGCTACCCAGAACCGGTGATGGCTTTGTGTGCTCTAATACCAGGAATAGCAACAGTGACACCCCCTTACTGGCCTGCATTCCAATTCGAAATATGCGCTCGAGGGTCGAGGAGGTTGTTCCAAGAGATACTCTTTCCACGAGAGCCCACCAGCCACCTTCCACCACCACATCCGTCATCGGTATGTCGTTATTTGCCGGAAGAAGCCGTGACGCGCTCATTGATCACACAGCTCGTCCCTCACGCAGACTCCCAAATAACTTTCGACATCCAACTAAGACCAACGACGATGATATCTATCGCGGACTACATACCTTCATCATGGACATCTATACTAAGCGGCGTTCTCGCGTTCGCCCTCGTGGTCGGCTGGACATGGGGCGACCGCTTCTTGCCAAGTGTAACAACGACCGAAAAGCTCGATGCGATGCGCGACGAGCGCGACGTGGTACTGACAATAGAGCTATCCTTGGCGCACACCACCACACGCTTCATTGCTCTGAAAGCGCGTATCCACCGGTGCGCAGTCGAGCGCCAATTCCAACGGGTTTGCTCATTATTTTCAAATCAACATCCAGACTCTGCGACGAATACCACGCCGCCGTTGTCAAAACCGCAGACCACACTGGCAGCTGGAAATACCTATGGGGCATCGTCGACATCGTCGCGTGCCAAGGACTACGCTGGTGGTTACGAGGATGGCGGGATCTTAACTCTATCCGTATGGAAATCCACGTGCGTCGCATTCAAACGCTCACCGAAGGCCCCGCTCGATCGTCATACTAGATCATCAAAACGCAGGACGGCATCTTCAAAGGCAGTCGCCCAATCTACACCGAAGCGACTGCTAAAGCCGACATGGAAATCGCCATGAAGACCGAGGAAGAGTTGAGGCCGAAGCCGGGTCGCAGCGCAGATGACGCTGAGAAGGCAGAAGGACTGCCCGAGGAAGAGGCCGACGAAAAGAAGACTAAATGAAGAGCAGCGGAACAGCCAACGCTAGCGAAAAACGCCGAACGGCGACACCTCGGCCCAATAGCTAATACACCATTCACTGGCGAAGACCCCCGCCCCTCCTTCACTTGTTCCATATCTCACGAACGTCCTCCCTATCTTCTACAAGTCTTACATTTCCTGTCTTACCGCTATTTCATTGCTTTGCCATACAGTACGCGTTATCCACACCTCTCATCCGCATATAAGTATAATTCATGTAACACATACGTAGACCGACACGAATCCAAATGAAAATAAAAGGCCTATAAGCCAAGTACTTGCTCATAGCGCCCTGTACATTTCATGTAACACACGAATTACGAGTCCTAAAAATTTATTTTTAGACTCGTTCTTACTTCCGTTTCAACGCCAAAGCTGATGTTTTTTGGCCACTATGACGTACGAGACTCGTGTATTCTTTTTTTCCATATAAGGTAGAAAATCACTGACGGCTGCTCCTTTTGGTTGAACTGTTGGTCATTCTATCTGACTTGTCTTTCATTTTGGTCATCTACATTACCTCGCGCCGCCCGTTTGCAATGGTCTCTCCTTTTCAAGAGGCGCTTGATCTCTGGATCATGGACTCCTTCCCACGACCCCCCCCCCCCCTGGAAAAGGCAATTCCCATCAATTCCATCAATGGCTCATCCAAGCCATTTATGTTGCATTGCCGTGCTCCTCAGCATGTCGCGCATTCACTGTGTCCTCATTACGCTTAGTATACCTACTTCTGAACTTATTATGGATCTTAAAAATGTATGTGGTGCACACAATTTATTCAATCCAGTTGCTTTCACGAGTCATTACATAGAATATAGTTGTGTAGCTGTAGTAGAGAACATTGGTGCAGTAAATGGCCAAACATTTAAGATGAAGACGAGCAAGAAGTAAAGCAAGAGGTTGTTGCCCCCGAGATGCCGAATGATGCCGTTGATCTCGCTTAGCGGACATCAGAGTCCACGATCCAGAGATCAAGCACCCCTTGCTCCTTTTGGTTGAACTGTTGGTCATTCTATCTGACTTGTCTTTCATTTTGGTCATCTACATTACCTCGCGCCGCCCGTTTGCGATGGTCTCTGTCATGTTCTGGCATGCAATCACATAATGGCCAGTGCGTTCTCTGTCACCTTCTCTGTTATGGACACCTTACTTAAAGCACTTAAACCGGTCCGCTCAGCAATTGATCCTTTGATCTATACATAAGGATCTCCCTCCGCAAGACGGTTCCCGCGTCTCCGGTATTGTCCGACCTGCGCCCAGCCAATTTTTCTTCATGGCCGAGTGGTACGTGTTAATCCATGTTCCACCATCTCTGTATTTTATCGTCCCAATAGTCCGCATGCACAGTGATTCTATTCGCACCTTCATCAGAATCAATGATCCCGTACCATCTTCTCCCTCGCCTGCCTTAGAGGAGTAATTCGGTGTAGGTTTAAAGTTTACTGTTTGCATATTATCTCGACACTTACTCAATTCTCATGTCAACCCGTATTTTGATTAGGCATTTTCCCGAGGCTGGTGTATGGCCCAATGATTGACGGCCGCAACATCTTCAGTTTGTGGATGTTAACGTTTGTAATACAACTTTGATGCAGTGATGCCTTTTCGCCTCTTTTGCCTTCCTTGGCAACTCTTACTATTGTCTCGTATTCTCCGCTCGTTCTCTGGGCTAATACAAACTAAGGGTAGTATCCAATGAACTTTCCTCCTGAGTACCATGTGCAATTATTCACCTCCACGCAACATTGGTCTGCTCGTACCCGGGCTTTCGTCTAGTCAGCTTCTCGGATCTACTGTTGAATCTATACCAAGTGTCTTGATTGATTTCGATCCGCCTTCGCATCAGAGCGTCCTCCAGAACTTCTTATAGTTTGAGCGACGCAATGGTGTCAAGACCTGCATCTGAGATGGACATTAGCACGGTTTTGGGCACGGGGAAATTGTGCATTACGTTCTAACTGCTTGTCATCGAGCTTGTTCGCTGCCCAGTTGCTGATGGACAGGTCTTTCGACAGCTCGAAGCCCAGCGCGTCCTCGGCACATGCAGGCGAGGTAACGGAAAGTGGCCAACAAGACATATAGAATGACCAAAGTCGAACCAAAGGGAGCAGCGATCAGAGAATTTTTCCCTCATATGGAAAAAAATGAATACACGAGTCTCGTACAAGACAGTTCCCTCTCCGAGCTGTGCCGAGTCATTTTTTCTTCGTGGCGGCGCGGGATGTTTCCATTTCCTGGCAGGTAATCACTTGCCATTTAATAATAAAGGCCGATGAGCGGCAGAGCCCTAGAAACTTCGTCTCTTGGGCAACTATGCATGAGGCTGCCTCATAACTCAGATCACCATTCGACACCCAGACCTCGAGCATAACAAGAAAGCCAGATTAATCTTATCCATCCCTGCACAAACCCTGGAAAATTGGTTGGCAAATTTCAAAGTCATCCAGAAGCTCTCACTGCATGCCCCCAGCACTGGATTCACATTTGAGTGCTCTGTAGTCCTCCTGACACCATCAGGATTTTTGGGTTCGATCTTTGGCTGACAGTTGCAGCCCAGTTCAGATTCCCTGTCAAGCCTGCTGAATCCATATTATCTGCGGATGAGTGTTCAGATGGCTTGATTCTTGTAACGGAATTTATGAAGTTCTTTTGTTCTACCGCAATTAGATGCAAAGAGAATGATGGGGAAGGTTTAACTTCTGCAGGTGTGAAGCTCACCTGAAGATGACATCCAGCTTAAATCTGCTGAACAAGGAGAGTGGATGCCCATCACAACTTTAGTTTTTCGAGTCTGTTTGCAGTGCTGCCTTCGATCTGGAAACAAGGAGCCTCTAGGGCTTTCCTCAGTCAATCCTTGTGAAATCCAGCCTTGGTGATCAACAGTCCTACCAGCCCTGAGATCGACTCAGTGATTCCGGTTGTGTTTCTCTCAGCCATCCTTGTGAAGCTTAGGATATTCGAAGGTATACTGACCAAGCAGATGACATGGATTTCACACTAGTTCTCTGGTCAGTGAGTTGGTATTATCAATTGGACATTCTGTTGAAATGAACCTATGCACCACCACCAACATTCTCGAGGTGTGATCGCGGCATTATGACCTGGTGCCCCGAGGATTTGTGTTGTCTCCGTGCAATTCAAACAGTGAATAGTATAGTTCAAATGGTATTTGAAATGGAAAACCCGGCCTGGACTCGTTCTGCCATGCGCATGCAATGGCCCTAAAGCACAAGTAAAATATCTTGCTTTAGACTGCCATCCGTCGTGAGTGCATCTGCGCGCGCCCGCCGCCACACGCATCTGCGCGCGCCCGCCGCTACACGCTAGAACGAATCGCGCCTCCGTTACGGAACATTACGGGTCAGCAAGGAAGGAATCGTACCTGCCATGCGTAAGCACTGGCCTCAAGACCAAGTGACTCTCTTGCCTCCGACCTCCGTGTCGGATTCTCATTCTGGGTGTTCTAGGCTACGCGGGCAGGAATTGCAGCGCAAATATGCAATACTGGGAATTTCTCTTTCGTCGGATACCCAGCTCCTGGCAGGGTCTCCCGGCTGTGGTCCCAAACTCGGTTACTCTAGATCTTGGGTTACTCGGTCCCGGACGATCGACTTGGACTCGGAGTCAACATGACACTGAACTCTCCTGCTTATATTCCTCGCTCCAGGCTCTGCTTCCGACGAGTTCAGGAGCTCTGCAGATCTGCCAGTGCACCCCGACTCGACTCCGCTCCCACTGCTGCTCGTCACCACGTCAGCTTCTGGCTCTATCCTTTGCAAATATGACAACGGCCTGGTAGCACAACGGCTAGTGCGTCTGCATGCTGTGGAATTTACTCGCCTTATGTTTCTGCAGAGGATCTCCGTTCGACTCGGGGTCAGGTCTTTCCAGTCTTCCATGACAACTTTTTTTCCCCCCTTGGCCCTCGTCAGCTGGTTTTTCCCGCCATTCTGCAGATCTTGTTTCCCCCCTTGCGTCTGTACGCTTACTTGGCAAGCCAGGCCCCGTTCCTCCTGCGACTTCTCAAACAAATTTAATTAATTAATTGTGCACTCGGACCTCGGTATGACTTTAATCTTACAGAGCAGCAAGCCACGCAAGATCATTCAGCTCAAGTTTCCTGCACCCAATGAAAGACCTGATGGCACAACGGTTAGTGCATCTGCATTCAGTTATTCCTCTTTGTAAGGGTTTATGTAGGAGGTCCCCGTTCGACTCGGGGTCAGGTCATGCGCGCTTCTTTGCTTCTTTTTTTCTCTGGGCTCCATCACAGTTCTTCTTTTTGGCTGCATCCGCTGATCACCCCTTGTGCGATGCGACATGATGCCTGGCTAATACAAAATTCAAGCACTCCTCCTTACTGGATATCCCGAGTGAGCACCTCTCGCAATACCTCAAACCTCGAGGTTCTGGTGCCCAGGAAAGACCTGGTAGCACAATGTCAGTGCGTCTGCATTCAATACCGATATCGATGGGGAAATAGGTTTATGCAGAAGATCCCCGTTCGACTCGGGGTCAGGTCTTTAGTAATGTCGTGTTTCCATTTCATTTCATTTTTCTTATCTCCGATCGACTGGCTTATCTATTCTGGCAACAATATCCAATTTTGTGCCTCCACCGCGTCAGCGAGCTCCCCTGATTCCTTCCTCACACTCGGACGGCCCGAGGCCTTTGGTGAATTAAAATGCCATTTTTGTTCACAGATCAGCGCCGAAATAACTCACGCCTTATGAACTGTCCCGTCTCACCTTCCTTGTTACCTCTGTGAGATCTCTCCTAGGATGTCCCGAACGACTTTCGGTCTCCACCGGAACTTCATTCAAGTGCTCAAATTGAACCATCAATGCAAGACTTCTTGCTCGCACTCGCAACCATTCAAACCTCGAGGTATATGCACTGAGGTAAGACCTGGTAGCACAAGGCCAGTGCGTCTGCATATAGTACGAGTTCCTCCCTCAAGATTCTGCAGATCCTCCCCGTTTGACTCGGGGTCAGGTCATAAGTTGGTCCTCCCGCATTTTTTGTCTGGCTCATCGGCTGGTTTGCTCCCTAAACGGCACCGACGGATTCCTTCCCTCCTTTCTGCGGAACTCCGGAGGTTTATTCGGATGTCCGCCCTCCGACAGGAAGACAGATATTGTTCACAAATTAAACAATTCGTTGATATTTTCGTTTCTCAAGCCACCCAGCACTCGCAATAATTTCCTTCAAGGCCTGAGGCATAGCTACCAAGGAACGACCTGGTAGCGGAATTCTCGTGCGTCTGCATACAGTTGTTGGAATCTCGTCAGAGTCTTTGCAGAAGATCCCCGTTCGACTCGGGGTCAGGTCATTCGCAAGTTGAAATCCACTTTTATTTTTCCCATTCCATCATCTCGTTTAGTCCGTTAGCAAGTTTGTATTGCGGCTCCAGACTCCAGACTCAGGTGAACCGCCCCGTAGATACGGACGGGTGTGATCGCGTTCATATGTTACTGCACTCCACTTTTTGTCTTGGCTCAGGTGCACACTCACAATAATTTACTTTTGAAACTCGAGGTACATGTACCTAGAAATGACCTGGTAGCCCAATGTCAGTTTGTCTGCATAGTGTGGTGCTGTTGACTGGTTTCTGCAGAAAATCCCCGTTCGACTCGGGGTCAGGTCATGTCAACTATTTTGCCTCATGAACATGCATCTACCTAAACGCCCAGGAATTTGTTCGTTCTCATCCGGAGATTCGAAAGTTCAAAGTTAAACCACCGTAGCGAGAAGTCTCGTCCTTCTCAAACCAGCACATGAATCTCAACACCAGAGGTACGGGTACCCAGGAAAGACCTGGTAGCACAATGTCTGTGCGTCTGCATAGAGTAAGGAGGGGAGCGAAGAATATTCTGCAGAAGATCCCCGTTCGAGCCGGGGTCAGGTCATTCGTTCATTGGTTTCACTGTATTTTCTTTCTTTCTTTTATTATTAATCAACTGATTCTTGCCGCCAACAATCCCGATTCTGCAGATCTGGTTTCCCCCCTTGCATATGTGCGTTTACTGCGCCAGCCCGTGACACCCACTCCTACTGCCTCGGACGACACAACTTCCCTCACATTCAATGGCATACATACTTCGTTATTCCCTTAAACGCAAGCAGATCATTCAACTCAAGTTGTACGTCCACCCATAGGAAGACCTGATATTCTTCGGATGCTCCGTGCTCGTGCCCTCCAGGCTCTGCTTCCGACGATTTCAGGGACTCTGCAGATCCGTCTGTGCACCTCCCACTGCTGCTCATCACCTCGTCAGCTTCTAGCTCTATGCTTGGCAAGTGAAACAATGGCGCGATAGCAACGGTTAGTCCATCTGCTCGTAATGTGTTTCTCCCGCGTTTCTGTGAAGTACCGCCTCTTTGCCAACGAGAATCTGTACAGAATATAGCAAGCGGGCCTCATTCGTGGCTGGAATATTAGCAGGAAACGTACGTATCTTTTCGACGACGTTGAGCTATGTGATGAGGTCTATCTTGGCTTTCTTGAGGAGACTATTGAACAAAGTTGGAGCTCTCGAGAATCACAGCACTGCCATCCTTGGAAGCCCAGTATAAAGTGAGACAGCGTCGTCCTGTACACAGTCTAATGGAACTCTGTCAACTGCACCGCCGGTGAGGCTGACGCTCGCGGAATCTGCTGCAAAATATCAGTGTCCTATTATAGCCCTTTGCGGAACTTAGGGCGCGGCCCAATAGAGAGCTTGCGCAAAAGCCGCACGAGCCGTACGCGGCTTTTGTGCATTGCGCAAAGCCGCGGGTCTTTCTTTGCCGTTTTTAATTCTTGTCTTGCTAAATACAATTCAATGCCCCTTAAATCCCATATTCCACTCCTGAGAGTGCTATTTGTTGGATGTGCAACTGTGGGAGGCCGTATTTATCACGCATCACAAAGGCATCACTCGAGCTCCACTTTCTTTTCCCACACTCTCGTGTCTGCCACGCAGCAGAGGCAATGCCGAGGATGTTCCCTCTCCCCACAGCACCTCTCCTTCGCCTCAGGTAAGCTTACATTGATTGACACCTCTCACATTTCAAATTTGCCGTGCGGCTTTGCGCAATGCAAAAATGCCGCATGCGGCTCGTGCGGCTTTTGCGCAAACTCTCTAATTTTTTTTTTTTTGGATGTTTCGGATATTTCAGCTCTACTGAGCTCAGTTCTTCACCGATTCCCTCAAAACTATGATCAATAGATTTGCCTTGCGATTCCGGAGGGAGTGACGTTCGAAAATATGTCAGAAGCGTGGGAATTGCCTTTTTCGGCAAATTATGGGGCATCTTCTCCTATCAGCTCTAGCATTAAATATACTGATCCGATTGACTTAGTTTTTGGATATATCATACTTACATGCATTACCTAGGATGTGTCGTGCCCAGATCGTCAAAATACCTCATTATTCAAAAGCTTTACCGTATTCAATTTGAATCAGTTTTTAAGTCCCATGCCAGATGGGAACAAAACATTTTAATCCTTATCTGGGCACGACACATCCTAGTTAATACATGTAAGTATGATATATCCACAAACTAAGTCAATCGGATCAGTAGATTTAATGCTAGAGCTGATAGGAGAAGATGCCCCATAATTTGCCGAAAAAGGCAATTCCCACGCTTCTGACATATTTTCGAACGTCACTCCCTCCGGAATCGCAAGGCAAATCTATTGATCATAGTTTTGAGGGAATCGGTGAAGAACTGAGCTCAGTAGAGCTGAAATATCCGAAACATCCAAAAAAAAAAAAATTGGGCCGCGCCCTAAGTTCCGCAACTGGCTGTAATGGGCTGAATACATGGAAGCACTACCTTCTTGAGGACGCGGAGCCGTATATGTCGTGCAGTGTTACCACCGTGAGCCTGCTTGAGGAGATTTTGGATTGAATGCCTGGGCAGTGAAATGACCGGAAGCCGTCCTGCATTGGAAATATTAACAAATGCCGTCAATTGTCCAAATACGAGGAAGCACGGACCTTTATCCAGGATGCTGAGACGCGCAGCTTTCGCCATGGCAAAATCGCAGAGTAAGATGAGCCTGAGGGGAATCTTGACGAACTGGTATGCAGTCAGTTCGAAGAGAAGACTGCCTGCAGTGTATTGAAGGTGAGTTGCAGTTGCATTCGCCGAGGCCCCTAGCGCAACAATAGAAGGGCTTTCCACCAAGGATTCTGTGAGAAAATGGAAAATTAGCGATTATCCCACTGCCTCGCGATCCGCCTGATGGCCGTTCCGGCATCCCTGGTTGGAACAATTGGAAGCGTTCGGCAGTCCAGGAGATGTATTATAACCACAGTCCGCTGTAGCAGTCAGGAATATTTTGCTGTGTTTTTGGTGGGGTTCAGATTGTTACGGCCTGAGACGGGTAACAAATCTGCACACTTTCTTTCAGTCTTGCTGCTCCTCAGTCTAGGTCATGCGATTGTGTGGCTTGCCGTCGGGCCTCTTCAGCAGTTCTGAGTTCGGTCTGGCCATCTTGAAACACAGTCTAGCAGGACAGACATGCTATATCCCTATGGTTTCTAACAGAGACACTTCTAGACGGATAGACCGCCATAGACATCGGCTAGAGATCGTCCGCGCATGGTTCACCAGCCATCAAGTTTAGAAGCTGATCCCAACCAATGGGTCTCCTTCCGGCTGTCGCTCTGTCCCATTGTGCCATTGTTGTGCTCTCGAGTTGCCCAAAATACAGAGCGGACTATAGCGGACTTGTGCAAATTTTTCAGAGTCTCGTTACCGAGCAAAGCCGAGCACGCAGATTGATTAGCGAGGTGGGGAAACTATAGGTTCGGAGCAAGCCTGTCTCCGCACCGGCAAGCCAGTGAATCTCGGAGAGAGGCTTGTTACAAACTGCCAAAAAAGGACCATGTGTTCAAGAGACATTTTCTCAGCCATTTCAACTCGGATTGCCATGGTTTCTGCTGATAAATTGTTCATTAGATACCCCTCCACATAGCTAGGTGCTAAGAGGGAGCAAATATTATCTTGTTCTTGTAGTACACTTGATCTTTAACTCCGAAGTTGCATTTGGGATTCAAGCCAAACAAGGAATATCATTTGACCATTCCATGGATTTTATGGGCTCAATGAGTTCCTTAGACGATTTACAGCAGGTCTTCCAGCAAAATGTATGCCGAGAACGGTCTTGTTCGTGCAGGAAACAGAATTTCGGTCTTTGGTGAGGTGTGACACAAAGTGTGAGATGTGTGACTGAATCCTTTTCAGTGGCCAACCTCGCTGCATGGAGAGCAATGAAAGTCCACGAGGGACATGAAATGGTAATCATAAGAGTTTTTAAAGGTGTATTTGCCCTTGAAAGACGTTCGAAGATGAAGAAAACCTCAAATGTAATTTCGGATCTGGATGACTAATCACATCAAAACAGCCCGTTTCACTTGTTTTCGAGCCACGGGCTTCACCACATCGCTTACAAGCATGAAAAAAGTGGTTTCAGGATCTTGAATACAGCCATAATGAAATGGCATACTCAGATTTTCAATTTGGACAATGAGTATGACTTGGAAGAGGAACATTGCATTCAACTGATGTATGAAGAAGTGCAGGTTGTGGCCGACCTTATAGGACATAAGGGTATCCTACGAGAAATCCGAAGAGACCAAAACACTTTCGCACTTCCAATGTACAAATGATCAACTTAGATCTAAGGGTTCCATGCTGTATTAGAGACGGTAGAGCGTGCAGAACACATTGCCCTTTTTTTACATCTTGGCACAAGCCCCTTCTCAGAATGCGCTGCGAAGCACGTGCATGTCATGTGAGAAGGCGGCTTGTTCCGAACCTATGCCACCCGCCTGGTCGGAGGCAAGAGAGTCACGCTCACGGCACGTGAGCGTTACCAACCCTTATCTTCCTCCTCCTCGATGGCGTTCTCGAATACGGTGGCAAGCAACGGCGAGACGTGCATGAGCCTGCCTGTATCCTGTCTCACAGGCCCCCAATCTCAGTCCTTCGAGGTCTGTACCCTTTTCCCCGGCCTGAAGAGTGCCACTGACTCGTTTGCTGCAGGAGGTACGCATCGCGGACTACCTGGCCTCATACCGCGCAACACCGCCGCCGTACCCGACCGACCCCGCCGCGCGCGCCGGCCAGTGGCTCCCCCCTATTCGTCCCGACGCCATTCCCCGCCCAAGGCGGCGGCGCACCATTCACATTCGGCGGCGACCTGTCCCGCGCGCCGCCATCAGCGCGCCCTCTTCTCTTCCTTCCACTCTTCGATGTGATGCCGTACTCGACGGCGGCGACAGGATTACCAGCAATATACTCGTACATCAAGCTCGCGGCATGCCGTGTCTCCCTGGGCCGCAACCCCAATCCTTCAAGTTTGACTCCTTCACCCGTACTCACGGTGCATCCCGAATCTCTCAACCTCGGTGTAGTATCTTGATCTTCACTGAATCAACGGGAAAGAGAAATAGCGATGCGCTCATCTTACTTCCCTATCGTGGCGCGTCCAGTTCTAATCTTCTTTCACTTGCTCTCAATGTCAAGTCGTGCTTCATTTTTCTCCGTACAGAAAGTGCGCCATGTGCATCGCCGTCGAATACCCCGCCTCCTGTCACGCAGTGGGCGCCTGCTGCATGCAGCCGACCTGTTAGTTGTATGCGGTATCCACCAGCGTGAATCCAACCTCTCTGCACTTCTTCGATGCGCCTCGATGGCGCTCTCAACGGCGGCGTCACGGCAAGTATTGCTGAAACATCAACCTCGCTGCGTCGCGGTACAAGTCACCGATCCCACCCAAGAGGTATGGACATCCCAAGCCTCCCCACCTCGAGTCCGACAAGCATATTTACGTAATTTTCCGGAAGGAATGGCGAGGGTCTAATCTTTTCTTGGCGCATCCTGCTGTACTTCTTCTTCAATTCCCTTCGCGCTTTCGCGCCTCGCAACCCTCCTCCTCTAACTGTTACCCTGCCAATGCGATGGTCTGGAACTCGAACGTCCTGACTCAATCCGCGGTCGCTGCCGTGTGACCACCACAGCTATCGCTGAAACATTCATCAACCTCGGAGTTGCGGGACTGTACCTTCTGGACACCAACTTCCATTCATCGCCTCCCCGGCCCGGATCTTGTGCTGCAGTGTCAACTCTTGCGAGCTCGGAAATTTCCTCGAACCTGATCATCCCCCAGCGTCATTACCGTCTCTGAATTCACGGCAAACAATGCCGATGGTCACATCTCTGCTTCTTCATATGGGCGGTGCACTCTAGTTTTCTGTCGCTTGCTCCAACCATCAAGTTTGCACCTCAGTTTCCTTCGCCTCTCGCAGTGCTCTTCCTCTGCCGACTGGGCTTCGCACGTCCTGTACCCAATTTCCATGGCAAATGATTAGTATATGCGTTGCGTGCCTTTCTCGGATACACTCCCAGTATATCCCGTCTCTATCTAACACTTACGCGCGCCGTCCTCCAATATCGAATTATGATACCACGTCAACGGATTATGACGATTATGATGAGTATATGCGCAAAATCACTCTCGACTCCCTCCGCACCACGCGAATTTCGCACTAAGAAACTGGCGCATCTGTGACTCATTCGGCGTGTTTCGCCCGTGGATGTTGGGACTGCACTGTGAGTCTCCATTCGCTCGTCCGCACCCACCTTTTGCGCATGTCTCCCCGCAGCTCGCCGACCACTCCGTGGCACTCGATCGAACGCGGACTCATCCCACTGCATGCATGCATGACACCAATGTGCCGCCGACCGACATTCTTGCCCGTGTGGCATGCCTCTTTTAAATGCTTCTACCTCCGTCTTGTGAACCGTTGAAGCTCACCGAAGCATGTGTAGTCCTGGATGTTCATCCCGAGCACCATTCGAGCTATCTAATGTTGGTCTAATGTCATGAAAATAAAAAATCTGAGACTCAGGCATGCACTTCATACTGCGGCAAAGGGATTTTTCCGCAGCACTGCCGCTGCCGGTTGCATTTTTCTATGGTAGTCTGCGGCAGTCAGTTCTGAGATCACTAGGTAGGTATGTACACGTTTTTACGGAATATGTACACAATTCAATCTGCCAAGCGAATGACCTGACCCCGAATCGAACGGGGATCATCTGCAGACACATCACACTATATGCAGATGCACTGACTTTGTGCTACCCGGTCGTTTCTAGGTATGCAGAGCACGAGATTTTCGGAGGTAGAAAAATATTGAAATTTGAAAATTGAAAGATGCTGGCCTAGGGGAAGTTTTCCTGGGCTGGGACAATGAGCCGACGAAGGAGGATGAAAAAACTCAGGTGAGATCCCCACAACTGTATGCAGATACACGAGCATTGTGCTACCAGGTCATTCCTAGGTGCATGCACCTCGAGGTTTGAGGTAAGTATTGCGAGTGCCGGTTCCAGAAGGGAAAGGAGTCTCCCACCCGCGGTTTGATTTTGTACTTGGCTCGGAAGTGGACCATTTGGAGAGGGACGAACGATTATCCTACCCGGACAGATTGTTCTTCCTGGGACAAACTAGTCGACAAGTTCCGAGAAAAAAGCAATCTCATACCGAAGCCATGACCTGACCCCGAGTCGAACGGGGATCTTGGCACTGTCAATCGAACAAACATGCCACTATATGCCGACGCACTGACATTGCGCTACCAGGTCTTTCTAGCCTACCTGGGTACCTGGTCTGAATTAACGCACCGCATGTCCACACCTCTGGTTTAATTCCGGAATGAAGCCGTGCCCACTGCTGCCAGGAGACGAAAGTCATGTGCATTGTAGGTAAGCGTTGTGGAAGGGTGGGTTGGTCCGCTCGTCACCATCCCCCCTCGCTTACTCTACGGTACATCGGCGATCACCCCGTATATTTGTTTCTTAGGTACACAGTGCTAAAGACAACCTTCTTACACCCGAACCACCACCTACGTCATGACAAGTGAACTGAGTGCTCCACTGTGAGCACGTGGCCAGTGAAGCCTTTCCGCCCGAGCCCTCTGAGATCATCTCCCTTGAGCCATTATGCACTACATCCGTACTCCATGCCCACACAACATCACCCCCTATCCCGACACTATTTCCATTCCACGCCTCTACGACATTCTTGGGACTTTCTACCGACTTTCTATTCCATCCTTGCGCCCCATCTCCCGGACTTCTGACCCATTTTTCTGTCTACCAGCCCAGGACTCAGTTCTGCGATAGTGTTGGAGACATCCCAAGAGAGAGCCCGCAGAGGTAACAGGTAACGGGGGAGTGGTGTTTAAGAGCAAACCAGCCGATGAGCCAGACAAAAAATGCGGGAGGACCAACTTATGACCTGACCCCGAGTCAAACGGGGAGAATCTGCAGAATATTGAGGGAGGAGCTCGTACTATATGCAGACGCACTGGCCTTGTGCTACCAGGTCTTTCCTCAGTGCATATACCTCGAGGTTTGAATGGTTGCGAGTGCGAGCAAGAAGTCTCGCATTGATGGTTCAATTTGAGCACTTGAATGAAGTTCCGGTGGAGACCGAAAGTCGTTCGGGACATCCTAGGAGAGATCTCACAGAGGTAACAAGGAAGGTGAGACGGGACAGTTCATAAGGCGTGAGTTATTTCGGCGCTGATCTGTGAACAAAAATGGCATTTTAATTCACCAAAGGCCTCGGGCCGTCCGAGTGTGAGGAAGGAATCAGGGGAGCTCGCTGACGCGGTGGAGGCACAAAATTGGATATTGTTGCCAGAATAGATAAGCCAGTCGATCGGAGATGAGAAAGGATCTTCTGCTGCATAAACCTATCTCTTGTATGCAAACTGAATACAGACGCACTAGCCATTGTGCGATCAGGGCATTCGGTCAGGGCATACAAATTGAGTTGAATGATCAATTGGAGGAAGTAGGGATGAAGGAGACTTGCTTTGCCTCGGGTCTTGAGTTATTGCGGAGCTGAATCTGGAAGGGAGAAGTATCAAGTATACAATTCACCGAGGAGATCGTACCATCCGATGGAGGTGGAGGGTAGCCATATACGGGGAATGTGTTCATGGGTGGTATTTAGGAGCAAACCAGCCGATGAGTCAGAGAAAAAATCGACGAATATGACCCGACCCCGAGTCAAACGGGGATCTTCTACATAAACATATTTCCCAAACATTACTGAATGCAGACGCACTGACGTTGTAAGCCTGCCAGCTTACGACAATCCCAATGTCCTTATATAGGCACGCGATTGATTAGAACTATCTAATCAATTATCTACCTTTTGGTGTAGCGGTCTAGAACGTGCCTCGGACCTGCTTACAGACGTTGTGCTACCAGGTCGTTCCTGGGTGAATGTATCTCGAGGTTTGAGGTATTGCGAGAGGTGCTCACTTGGGATATCCAGTATGGAGTGCTTTAATTCTTTTATTAGCCAGTCCTCTTGTCGCACGATGACAGCCAAAAAAGAAAAATTGTGGTGGGTGATTGCCGCGGAGCAAACCAGCCGACAAACCAATGAGGGACGAAAAAGACACAACAGTCCTTTGAATGACCTGACCCCGAGTCGAACGGGGATCATCTGCAGAAACAGGTTCCGAACTAAACACTATATGTAGCCGCACTGACGTTGTGCTACCAGGTCTCTTCTGGATGGATGTACCTCGAGGTTTGAGGTATTGCGAGAGGTGCTCACTCGGGATATCCAGTAAGAGGGCTTGAATTTTTTATTAGAAAGTCCTCTTGTCGCACGATGACAGCCAAAAAGAAAATTGTGATGGGTGATTCCTGCGGCGGAAAACCAGCCGACAAACCAATGAGGGACGAAAAAGACACAAGCGACCTTGGAATGACCTGACCCCGAGTCGAACGGGGATCTTCTGCATAAACAAGCTTTCCATAAACTTACTGAATGCAGACGCACTGGCGTTGTGCTACCAGGTCTTTCCTGGGTGCATGTGCCTCAGGCCTTGAAGTAAATTATTTGTGCGTGATGGCCGGCCGGAAGGTTGGCATTGGGAACTTGCCGGAGGGAGGAGATTCAGAGGCGTGAGTTATGTCGGCGCTGATCTGTGAACAAAAACGGCGTTGTAATTCACCGAGGGCCTCGGGCCGTCCGAATGCGAGGAGGGAATCAGAGGGACTCGTTCACGTGGTGGAGGCACAAAAAGGGGCTATGGATGTTGTTCCCAGGATAGGCCTGCCGATCGGAGATGAGAAGAAGCAAAAGGCAAATGACGAACACGGCATGACCTGACCCCAAGTCGAACGGGGATCTTCTGCATAAACCTATTTTCTTGGAAAAAAACTGCATGCAGATGCACTAACCGTTGTGCAATCAGGTCTTCCTATGGGTGCAGCATACAACTTAAGTTGAATGATCTTACGTGGCTTGCTGCTCTGCAAGATTCAAGTCATACCGAGGTCCGCGTGCACCATTAATTAACCAATTAAATTTGTTTAAGAAGTTGTGCTGTTGGAGGCAGGAGGAACGACGGGGCCTGGCTTGCCGCGCAAGCGTACAAACACAAGGGGGGAAACCAGAATCGGGATTGTTGGCAGGAAAAACCAGTTGACTAGGGCCAAGAAAAAAAAAGATGTACGAAGATATTGGAATGACCTGACCCCGGTTCGAACGGGGATCTTCTGCATAAATCTATTTCCCAGTTATTACTGAATGCAGACGCACTGACATTGTGCTACCAGGTCCTTCCTGGGAACCAGCACCTCGAGGTTTGAGGTATTGCGAGAGGTGCTCACTCGGGATATCCAGTAAGAGGGCTTGAATTTTTTTATTAGCCGGGCCTCATGTCGCACGAGTACAGCCAAAAAATAAGAATTGTGGTGGGTGATTCCCGCGGAGCAAACTAGCCGATGAGCCTAGAGAGAGAGGAAAAATGGATGATGAAAGAATGGAATGACCTGACCCCGAGTCGAACGGGGATCTTCTGCAGAACGGTATGCAGCAAAACCAACGATATACAGGTGCACTAGCCGTTGTGCGATCAGGTCCTTTCCTGGGCACCGGTATCTCGAGGTTTGAGTCATCGCGGGTGGCTGCGGAATAGAGTAGCAAGTATACCCTGTGTTCTTTGTTTGCCTGTAAGGATCGGAACGATATTTGTACCTGCCGGCGACCTAGACGCAGACGCAGATGCAAAAAACTCCGATTCAATGGATTTTGTTATTGGAACGAACCAGTCGATGTCGACGAGCCCTAAAAAAAAGGAAATGAGTCCTAAAAAAGAAAAAGAAAAAGGTGTAAGAGAATCCAGGAATGACCTGACCCCGAGTCGAACGAGGGATCTTCTGCATAAAGCTTTTCCGACGGGAGTACTGAATGCAGACGCACTAACCGTTGTACGATCGGGTCTTCATTGGGTGTAGGGAACTTGAGCTGGGTGACCTTGCGTGGCTTGTTGCCGGGTAAATTGAAATCCACGAGGTCCGAGTGCACCATTAATTAATTAAATTTGCTTGAGAAGTCGCAGGAGGAACGGGGCCTAGCTTGCCAAGCAAGCGTACAGACGCAAGGGGGGGGGGGAAACCAGATCTACAGATTGGCGGGAAAAACCAGCCGATGAGGGCCAAGAAAAAGAAAAGAAAAAAGCCGCAGGAGAATACAGGAATGACCTGACCCGGGATCTTCTGCATAGATACCTTCCTATGGGAATATTGAATGTAGACGCACTAACCGTTGTGCGATCAGGTCCTTATTGGGCGCAGGAAACTTGAGCTAAGTGATCTTGCCATTGCGTGGTTTTCTGCCTTTGGATATTTAAAGCTACGATCCCGAGGTCCGAGTGCATGATCGATTTAATTCGTTTAAAAATTTATGCTGTTGGAGGCAGGACGAACGACGGGGCCTGGCTTGCCAAGTAAACATACAGACGCACAGGAAACCAAAAAATTAGACTCACAATTGTTGGTGGCAAAAAACATCCGATGACGTAAAAGAAGGCGAAGAAAAAACGAGACCACAGCGGAATGACCTGACCCCGAATCGAACGGGGATCTCCTGCAGAACAGCATATCACTCGGCATACGATAGGCAGACGCACTAACCGCTGTGCTATCAGGCCATTATTATGCCCACTTGCCAAGCGACCAAGGAGGAACTGACGCGGTGGCGAGCAGCAGTGGGAGGGGATCCGAGTCGGGGTGCACCGGTAGATCTGCAGAGCCCATGAATTCGTCGGAAGTCGACCCTAGCATGGAGTATCCGAGGAAGCTAAGGAGAAGTAAGGCCAGTTCAGTATTAGTGTCATATTGACTCCAAGACCGAGTCGATCGTCCGGGACCGAGTACTGTACTATTTCGACCAAGTCTTCACGGCCTGTGACCAGTGACCCAAAGTCTTCAAATGCCATCAATTCAACGGCCGCTGGGACCTGTGACTGCTATTTCAACCCTTCATTTTGCAAGTTTTCAACTCACATTTTGGCCTCGAAAACAGGCCAAATTCGGACATGTCCAAATCTCCGGCGCGACTGGGCCAAATTTAAGCACAATTTTCTGTCCAACAGTTGATATAGGTCTGGGGAATTTTTTGGATTTTCGGCCCTGGAACCCGATAAAACGGCCAACTATTCAACGCCTCCAGTGACCTGTGACCCAATTGAAAAGTCTTCAATTCAGCGGGCGCTGTGACCCGTGACTGAAGACTTGGTCGAAATAGTACAGTAACCGGCAGCCACCACCAAGGAGATCCTGCAAGGAGCTGGGTACCCGATAGAGAGGAAGTGCCAGAATTGAATATTTGCGCTCCAGTTCTTGTCTGCGTAGGCCAGAACACCCAGGACGAGAATCCGACGCGGAGGTCGGAGGCAAGAGACAGTCACGGTCACGGCACGTGAGCGTTACCAACCCTTCTTCCCCTTCTCCTCGATGGCGTTCTCGAATACGGTAGCAAGCAGCGGCGAGACGTGCATGAGCCTGCCTGTATCCTGTCTCACAGGCCCCCAATCTCAATCCTTCGAGGTCTGTACCCTTTTCCCCGGCTCGGAGCGTGCCACTGACTCGTTTGCCGCAGGAGGTACGCATCGCGGACTACCTGGCCTCATACCGCGCGACAGGCCGCCCTCCACCACCGTGCCCGCCCTACCCGACGGACCCCGCCGCGCGTGCCGCACAGCGGCTCCCCCCGCTCTTCGTCCCGACGCCGTTCCCCGCCCAAGCCGGCGGCCCCGCATCATCCGCATTCGGCGGCGGGCCCTCTGCCTCGGCGCCCTCGCTGCTCTTCGGCGCCCCCACGCCCGCGGCCGGCACGGCGTTCGGCACGCCTGCAGCGGGCCCGAGCAACGCCGCGACGATCACGGACCCCACAAGGCTGCCCCTCGTGCAGGCGTTCACGGCGCCCGTCCGTGCGCCAGAAAACGAGCAGTTCGCGAGCATCTCGGCCGCGCCGGAGTATGCGCACTTCAGCCACGACGTGCGTCCGCTGCTTTTGACATTCTTAATTCGTGCTGACACGGGAACCTAGGAACTGCGGCTGTACGCCTACGCGCGCGGGGCACGGCAGCCGCCGCCGGGGACGCCGCTCTTTGCCTTCGTACCTGCCCCTGCACCCGTCCTTGCGCCCCTACAGATTCCCGCGCCGCAGCCGGGCGCCCTCCCGCAGGACGGGTCCGGTGACCAGTTCGTCAGCATCTCCGCGCGCCCCGAGTTCGCCGGCCACAGTGTCGAGGTGCGTGCGCTTTGTATTCGTGTCACTGCATCGGAGCTGACCTACCTTTCTCTCCTTCTCTATTGCGTTCCTCCTCGATTCTTCACCGCTCTTTCGTTCATCCTGCACCCTCTATTCGCACGTCCGTCCCCCGACACGCCTTTCTTTTCCCTTTCCTCCCTATGCTTTGCTCTGTTTCCTCCCCTTCTTTGATCATCCTCCGTCCTTTGTGCCCCTGCGTGTTCGCGCTTTCGTCCGGAACCGACCCACCCGTCCCTCTGTTATTTTGTCTTGTGTTGCGCTTCCTTCCTTCCTTTGTTGCTGGTTCCTCTTTCTTCCTTTATTCCTCGTCGCTTGTCTTCCTTCCCCACTTTATTGACTCGCCCTTCCTTCCTTCCGCTCCTTTATTCTCCTCTTCTTCTCTTTCCTCTATTCGCTTTGCTTGCTCTGTTATTTATCTTTCCCTCTGTCCCTTTCTTGTGCTCTTATCCCGTCTTTCTTATTTGCATCGTCCATATTTCTACTTCGTCGTCCCCGCCCATTCCCTGTGGCTCTTCCTTCATTGCCGTGCTCGTCGTACCCCCTCTCTGCTCTCCCCTCTCATTTGTTTCCCTCTCTTCCTTCTCTTTCCTCTTTCCTCGTCCTCTTTTCCCTCTAGGAACTCCGCCTCTCCTTCCTCCGCTCCGGTGCGGAGCTCACCTCTGCGCAGATCTTCGCCGGCGGGCCTTCGCCCGCGAACGCGCGCCTGCCTGGCCCCGGCGGGATGCTCCCGCTCGGCCAGCCCAATCCCAATCCGCTCGCAGGGTTTGCGCCGCACGCAGCGCCGCCCGCAGCTGTCAACGCCTTCGCACCGCAGGGGCCGACGCCACTGCCCACGCCGACGCTGTTCGGCGCGCCGCAGGCGACGCAGGCGCAGGGGTTCTCCTTCGGCGGGGCGCCAGCGCCGGCGCAACCGAGCGTGTTCGGCGCCCCGCCGCAGCCCGCCCCGCAAGCGGCGCAGGGCTTCTCCTTCGGCGCGCCGCAGCTCACACCCGTGACGACGCCTACCGTGTTCGGCGCCCCGCAACAACAACAACCTCAAGGGCAACCACAAACAAGCATCTTCGGCGCCCCACCGCAGCCCGCGCCGCCGGCAGGTGTATTCGGGCAGCCCCAGCAGGCGGGGGCGGGGGCGGGGCCGGCGTTCTCGTTCGGCGCGGCGCCGGCGCAGGCGGGCGCGGGGGGGACGGGGTTCTCGTTTGGGGCGCGCAGGGGGTTTTAGGCTCCGTGGGGGGTGTAGAGCGGGGTTTTAAGCTCCGGTGTGCTCTACGCTGCGCGATGGGGGTGCACGAGAGAGGGTAGGTGGGGAAGAGACGCTACGCTGTTATTCCTGTGTTATCGTTTTTGCTGTTGGCTTTGAATAACTTTATTGCGCGCGCTCGGTCGTTCGAGCGCGCGCTTATTTCGAGGGCGGTGCGGTTGAGCTACGTACCTTGGTTTGAGAGCTGGGGATGGGGAGGAAGGACCTGATAGCACAGTGGTTAGTGTGTCTGCTTCAATTCGTCCCCGCGTTTCATAGATTTAAGCAGAGGATCTCCGTTCGATTCGGGGTCAGGTCATTCATTGTGTACTATGTATTTTTTCTTCTTTCTTCTTTCTTTTGGCGAGTTAGAAATGAGGTGACTGCAGTTAGATTGAGAGTCGGGGAGGAGAACGGAATGGCCTGATAGCACAATGGTTAGTGCATCTGCTCTGATTATGGGTTTTACCGAGGCATTTAGGCAGAAGGTCCCTCGTTCGATTCGGGGTCAGGTCATTCGACATACATGAGTCTGTTTTGTTTCTGTTTTCTGTCTTTTGTTTTGGCGGGTTAGAAACCACGGCGAGTTCGGTTGGTTTGAAAGTGGGGCACAGGAGGAATGGACCTGATAGCACAGTGGTTAGTGCGTCTGTGGCAGATTCGCAAATTAGTTCGCAGGAGGACTTATGCAGAAGGCCCCTGTTCGATTCGGGGTCAGGTCGTATTCCAGTTCGGATCGTTTTGTTCTCTGCCTTTTTTGTGGTGGTTCCAGAGATCTGCTAGCTCACCTGAGCTGAGTTGGTTGGGTAGAAGCAAGGATCTGGTAGCATAATGGTTAGTGCATCTGCTTCAAATGACAATGTCTGGATCTTATCGGCGGAAGGTCCCCGTTCGATTCGGGGTCAGGTCATTTCCCTTTTCTTTTTTTGTTCAGTTGGGTTTTGGTTGGGTTGCTTGGGAATGTGAGTGGGCGGAAAAGACCTGATTGCGTAGTCGTTGGTGCATCTGCTTTATCTAGTTTGAACATTTTCCACTCAGTTAGGCAGAAGTTCCCCCGTTCGAGTCGGGGTCAGGTCATTTGTTAGTGATAGTGTTTTTCTCTTTTTCTCTGCTTTTGTTGGTGGTGTAGAGTTGGTTTGAGAATGGTGGAGGAAAAAGACCTGATGGCATAGTGGTTAGTGCATCTGCTTCAATTAAAAATCATCAGTGGCAGTTAGGCAGAAGGTCCCCCCGTTCGACTCGGGGTCAGGTCATGTGCTGTGTATAACATCTTTTTTTCTTTCCTTTTCTTTTGGAGGGTTAGAAATAAGGTGAGCTGAGGGTTTGAAAGTGAGATGGAGGAACGACCTGGTAGCACAATGGCTAAGTGCATCTACTTTATCTAGTTGAACATTTTCCACTCGGTTAGGCAGAAGTTCCCCGTTCGAGTCGGGGTCGGGTCATAATCCAGTCTGGAATCATTTTTTTATTTCTATTTTTGGCGGTCCAGAAACCAAGGTGAATTCAGTTCATCTGAGAAGGCAGTGAAGGAGGAAAAGATGACCTGTTAGTGTGTCTGCTTGACTTCACCAGGTGGGATAACAGTTTAGTCAGAAGGTCCCTGTTCGACTCGGGGTCAGGTCATATGGTTGAGAGTTTGGATTTTTTTTCCTACCTTTTTTTGGCGGTATAGAACCAACTTGAACTTACTTTTAAAATGGGTGTTGCCACAGTGGTTAGTGTCTGCTTCATTTCATAGTTCTTCAGGATACTTAGGCAGAGGGTCCCTGTTCGATTCGGGCCCAGGTCATGGCGCCAATAAAAGCTTCTTCTTTTTTTTGGCGGGTCTACAAGGAGCTCGGTTGAATGGGGGTGGAGGGGTACAGGTGTGATTGCACAGTGGCTAGTGTGTTTGCTTTGCATGACCCAGGACATCTATAACGCAGAAGGTACCCGTTTGATTCGGGGTGAGGTCATGGGGTTTTGGTATGGAATTTTTAGCCCCACAGCGATTGGTTCAGCAGCCCTCTTCATTCGGCCCTTCACAGCCCACACCTGCGCCCGTGGGGGAATGTTTGGTGTCCCACAACCGCTGTACTGCCGCAAGTACAACGCTGCACGGGTCGGCCAACGTTCTAGTTTGGCGGGCCTGGGATTTCGTTGGGTGGACAGAGGGCGTTTCAGGTCGTGTGGGGGTTTCGTGACCGCAGGTGAGGAGGCCGCGGGGTAAAAACGAGGGTCGTGTTATCGTTTTAGCTTGTAGTTGTTGCTTAAATATTGTGCGTACCGGTTCCGACTTCCATGAGGGTGGATGGTGGGCTTCGGCGGGTTTAATTGAGTCCGAGAGTGAATGGACCTCACAGGCATTTTCTCACTCTCTCTTGGGCAGATCCAGATCAATTCCTTCAAGAATAGGATTCATTTCGTTGAGGCATCTGTCTCCGGAAGCCCAACCCTTGAATAATTTCAACAGCACACAGCTCCCCTTGCAGCTCCTGCATACGTGAAGCCACGCCACCCGCGAAATACTGAATCGGAGGAAATGTCCATTCCTGTCAACTATCTTCGCGAAATGACAGTATCCATTTTGTATCGACATACATCTAGATACGTGTTGTCAGACTAACGCACGGAGCAGGTGTGTCGACCCGTTGGATCGTCCTCTCAGCCCGGAGTGGGCTTCCAAAACATATCATTAACGAAGACGGCCCACCGTGGGAAGACGATGAAATGAAGGCAGAACTCCGACAACGAAGCCGCACGTTACTAAAGACGCCGCGGCCACAACATTCGCCTTGGGCATGGCATGGTAGTATACCGAAGACACTGGAATGGTGCACGGAAGGAGGAGGCCTCGAGCAATCTGGGAATGTCCATCATATGCGTCGTGCATGCTGATAAAAATGGTTTACTTGCCTGCCAGTGGAAGAAGTAGAAAGACCGTGAGCCAAGGGGGTGCCGATCCGTGAATGGCGGACCAGGGGTCGGTTGGTTGGTTCGGCCGCCAGGCCAGATTTTTTTTTCTGGGAACCACAGTTTTGGAGGCTGGAAAGTGATCTATCCGACTTCTTTGAACTTCCAGATATTCATAAAAGGCGCTCTGGGCTTCATGAAAGGTTATCTTGCCTCCCGAAGACCAAAGGGCCCGATTCGGACATGGGTTTGGTTGGTTGATGTGCGAAATTATGAAAAAATTGGCTGAATTTCATGTCAAAAACCAAATGAATGTTGCAGCCGCCATTAACCATACCAAGAATGAGAAGCAGTGTTCTTGATGACACTCAGTGAAAGCTTGAGACTGGACAAAAAATATGGTTGTGGACCACGCGAGTATAATATACCCCCCCCCCCAGCGACTCCAGAGTTAGTCTGGAATAAGGTTCACCAGGGGTAGAGGTAGAGGTATGAGAGGCCCAACCTCTACCTTTACCTCTGAAACCTCTGACCTTCTGGAGGTATACCTCTACCCTACCTCCAAAACCTCCAAGGTACAAGCTCTAGTACCTCTACCTTGAGATTTTAATGGTAATTTGAACTATACTTTGGCTTAACTGCAAGATTAATTCAAATATTGCATTCTATATGCCTTGGGAGACTTTAATACCTTGGCAGGAAGGTTTAGGAAGCCATTTGGTTTGTGAAGAGGGGTTCCTGATCTCATCAAGATAGTCACATGACTGGATATCATGACGAAATCATGAGATTTGGGGCTCAGATATGAGAGATTATATTATGTATATATACAACACTGAGGTGTGAGTGTGGGCTAAGTTAGTGCACATAAAAGAGGCATTTCACCAGTGAGAAACCATGCCAGAAGATTGGTTTTACCATACCTTTGTGTACCTCTGTACCTCTTAAGGTAGGGTAGAGGTTTGGGAGATTTCAAAATGGCCCGACCTCTACCTCTACCTCTCTGGACCCTACCTCTGACCTTTGGAGGTTTACCTCTACCCCTGGTGAACCTTACTTTCCGCCGGGGGGTCCCCCGGACCGGGGCATCTCAGGTCAGTCCTCTTTGCGCACATAAAGGAAATAGTGAGTGGCGGCAGGAGTTGCCGGAATTGAATTGATCCGAGGCCGGCACATTAGGATTACGAATAGTAGCGCATGTCACTGTGTTACGAGTCTACCAAGTCTACGTAATTTCTGACAGTCTACAGGATCTACCCCGAGTCTACCAGATATATCCGGAGTCTACCAAGTCTACCCTGTCTACACAATCTACGGTAGACTCCTGTAGACTTCTGGATTCACGTTTGTTCTCGGAAGAAGGACTCATCGACGTTGGCCAGGCAGAGGGTGTTGAACATGAGCCCGAGGAATCCAACTGACAGAAATGGGAAAAGGTCACGTAAGGATCTAGGATGGGCAGCTCGAACTTGACAGGCAAGTAGCGCTGCAATCGGGTTCGCGAAAGTAATGCGAGAGAGCGAAGTAGAAGGACTGCAATGGCAAGTTGGATAAACTGAAACAGGTTAGCCATCGCTTCGGGTGAAAGAAAAGGTATTACAAGGAACGTAAATGGAAGATCTGGGGTTTTATTAAGCACGGCTTTGTTCACAAAAACCATCTACTTGTGATATGAGTTCAGGATATTTAAGGGGGAAAAAATCACGTACGACCAATGCGGCCACAATATAAAAACATACTGTTGCTGCTACTTTCAGAGGAGATTCCGGTTCTTCAAGCTCCAGCTGGTGCATCACGGTAGTGGTCAGTATTAGATATAAATGGGCTCAAGACCCCTGTCTGAAGACATGTTGGACCTTGTAAGTTCCGTTCAGGGCCGCCATCTGATGGACCGGGGAACCAAATTGGGGTGCCGATCTTAATTTTGAACCACTCGCGCATCGAGCGGAATTCTACCTTCTTGCGTCGGGGAGATCCTCCGGGACTCGCGGTTTTAGCAGTTTTACGAGTCCGCTCTGACTTCAAATTGACGAAGCTGACCACTGTTCTTAGTCCGCCGTGCTCGCCGTTGCAATTTTCCGAGCAAGGAAGTCCAAGTTCAATCGAATCTCTGATAGGTTGATATATTTACTAGGTCCGTTCTAAAAGTATCTCTCAAGGTTCGGCCATGGGATCATTCACTGAGTAATCAATTGACCGCCTTGGTAAGACGCTTGGTAAGCTGGAAGCACGCAAGACCCCCAACACATGGCGTTCCCATGCACAAACTCTAAGCCTTATAAAAGCCGGCGCAGGGCTTGTGAGACTGCAACTCGTGTCTTCAGCCACCATGACCGCTAGCACTCCTTCTAGTACTACTGGCACCCTCGCTTTCTATGTCCCTCCCAAAGACGGTGCTCGGGCATACACGAGCATCAACGCCACCCCGGTAACCGGAGTGAGGGACAGAAACTTTACCCTCGAGTTCCACGACGTCGAGATTATAAATCTACGTGGGAACGAATCAGCTGCGACTCTTGACACAGCCGGATACCAGCTTTACAATCATCCTGCAAAGCATACCACCTTCACGAATGACGCCGAGATCGAGAAAGAGTATTATCCGGAAAGCATTGATCTTATAAAGCGCTTGACGGGCGCGAGCCGAGTTGTGTTATTTGACCATAGTTCGTCTTTTACTTCCCTCACCTTTTCCATTCTTAATCTCGATTTTTCCAGCCGTCCGACGCCGCCGTCCTGGCGAGATTGACGATTCCCCGGATAAGCGACAGCCAGTTGCGCAGACCCACATTGATCAGACGAACTCGTCCGCCGTTGCACGAGTCCACCGACACCTCCCTGCTGAAGAAGTCCCCGAACTTCTGAAGCACAGATTCCAAATTATCAACTTGTGGCGCCCGATTTCCCATCCAGCAGTCGACTGGCCCCTTGCATTATGCGACTTCAGGAGTGTTGACCCGGCCAACGACGTCCTACCTGTTGCGCTGGTCTACCCGGATCGCGAAGGCGAAACATTCGGCGTAAAATACAACCCAAATCAGAAGTGGACATATTTCTCAGGCGTAGCTCCTGAAGAGTTGATTCTCATCAAATGGTATGTCCCTTGTCTGCGTAATATTCAGTGATCGCCAATTAATTGGTGGCAGTTACGATTCTCTCCAGGACGGGAGTGTCGCGCTTTATACTCCCCACACTGGCTTCAAGGACCCAACTACGCCGGAAGGCACCCCGCTCCGCGAGTCCATAGAGCTCCGCGCACTCGTATTCTACGATTAGAGTGGAATATTTTCTTACGCCGTGTTGAAAAAGCATCATCTTGTAACAGCTTGTAGATTTTCTTTGAAATACTCATACCGTTAGT